AAGCACTTTTCCGCAAAACGAGATAATCTCCTCCACATATTTACTTTGTAATCCGTAAAAGCACTTCTGAAACCATAGTTTGGTTTCTATCCAAACACACCCTATATCCTCCGACCAAAATATCTTTAATTGATTTATACGAAGTTATTCGATAAAACCCCATAATTCTCGTGTCTCAGTTGAGAAATTAGGACGAAATACAACGTGGTTTTCTAAAACAGAACGATGTTAATTTAGTAATAAATCTTAATTTTAGACAACATTAATTTAGGTAGGGTGGGTAGCTGCTGAAGTTAACTTGGTGTTCCTAGTCAGGTGAGACTTGAGAGCCCACTGCTCAAAGCGAACAGCGGAGGCGGACGAGAGGGGAATCCAGAATTAGTCAAATGAGGATTAGAATATGTTTACTTGCCACCCCCTTACATCATGACGTCACTCCTTGCATCATCATCGACATCATCCTGCGTTCACACCCGCCGCCTCTTTAGCTTTATATTTGGTCGCAACATCACATGTCCTATCTCCCGCTGACCTTTTCCCTGGCTCTGACCTCTTCAATTTCAACGTTTTCCCCTTCTTTTACCCCCGTCGAGGTCAATATTACTCTTTTATAAACTAGTTTGCATAAATTAAAATCAATTAATATTCTAAAATTATTCTATCTTCTTAGAGTAGTTATATTGTCCTCAGCTGTATGTATATCATAAATTCTAATCCAACCTACTAATTTCCTTCAATCCTTTGAGAACTATATAATCCGCAGCGTCTTGCTTTGTAACAATGACCATCAAATCCTTTTAACGCCAGATGCTTTATTTCAGCTATTGAATAGGGATCCTAGATTCGACAAATTAACCGAAGGCCACAGTAATCGTTAACGTCAGGTATTTGAGAAAATTTTTCAAAATGAAGAGAAGCATCTCTTATGTATAATGATGTCTTTGTATAAATCAAAGCACTTATATAAAATGTTAACATCGGATGTTCTAACACCAGATCTCACCAAGATTTTTTTTTTTGACCAGAAAGATCTCACCAAGATTATATCTTTAAACCATCTAAAAACACATTTACAAAGGTAAGGAAAAAATGTAACAACTAGTCCACCATATTTTTTTTAATTAAAATGTGAGCTTAATTAAAAAAAAAGTCCAATGGTATTTGAGCGTATGAGTGAAATAAAAAAGGTCAGAATGAAGGCTGTAAATGCCAGCTTAAGCTGTGCTTGTTGATTCATAACCTCTTAGTCATCTTAGGATTAAATCAAGATAAAACTGAATATAAATACAATATGATATACAATCCAGACTATCTCTCTCATGGAACTTTTTATTTGGAAACCTAAGCTAAATTAAGTACCAAAAAGATTGAAAGGGTTTTGAAATTGATTTTCTTTAATAAAACTATTTTGTAAACAATACAGATTAGATAAATCCTAATTACTATATATTTTTTGGGCTTTTAATAAAATGAGAAATGAAAATATTAATTTGGATTTTAAGGAATTCAATGATGATATGCTTTTTGGAAATGAACCATTGACTATTCTAACTTGTTCAATAATATGAGAGTAACTCAAGTGATTAGAATTGGTTTAGAAAAGTTATTCTTTTTAAATTAATGCTCAACTAGAACATTAATTACTTGTTAAAATCATTTCAAGCATAATCTCTGCACAACATGCATAAAAATTATATTAACAATAAATTAACGAAGGCATAAACATTAATATATTTATAAATCAAATACTCAACTTATAATTACCAATCCAAATCTCAAGCAGATCCAATCCAAACAAAGAATTACAACTAGTAATTCCTAGTTCTAAACCAAATATAACAAATTTCAAACCAGAAATCATCAATTAAATAGTTTAAACTAAGAATTAGAGTTGAACTCCTTTTTGTAGCTCCAAAAGCTCAAGCCATTATATTCAGTCCCAAGGAACACAGTGAAATTCAGCCACTCATTGCTTTGAATCCACTCATAACGAGCTTTAAAGATTCAGTAGCCATGAAGAAAGCTTGAGAGGTCTCTTATGGAATATTTCCACCAGCGAACCAGAGGAACAGTGAAGCCGACGGTGTGGTGAGGAGAGATGCAGGTGGCGTCGTGATATGAAAGAATGGAAGAGATTAAAAGTCGCCAATGTGAAGGGGAGATGGAGTCGAAAAATGAAGATTCCCTGGTTCCTCCATGAAGTCTGTCCTTGGCCGAAAAAGAAAGATCAAATTTGTGTGTGATTGGCGGCACACCCCCGCTGGCTTCCTCGTCCCATTTTTTTTTTAATCTAAATTGCCCTAGCCTTTCTAATGATTGAGACGGTGTGCATTGGGCTTGAGATCATGACTTTGTTTTTTTTCAACACTCAAATTCTATTTGGGCCTACAAAATTATTTAACAATAGGTAATATCACAAAGCCCCAAAATAAATGATTTAAACCAACAAGAGTTAGTCCATTTGGTAAAGTGTCGGCTCATAATCCACAAGGTTGTGAGTTCAAATCCCGTTGCTGATGTGAGGACCTTGTTGGTGGATGATTTGTAAGTACTTCTGTAAACACTCTCTGAGCTTTGAGGCATGTCCTGGTTCATCCTGGTGAGCCCTGAGACCCAACCACCTAAAAATTCTGTAACGAAAAAAAGATTTAAGAATAAACATAAAAATATGACAAAATTACCTCTTTTTGCTCTATTTAATAAAATCGATCTCCAATTTAAATTAATCATAACAACTGCAATTTAGCTCATTTTAGTTGATAAAAACCCCTTAAAAGATATAAAATATCATAGTAAAAATATAGGTTTATCACCTGTCGTCTCAACAAAAGAAACCAAGGTTTCACAACTAATAAATATATATATATATATATATATATATATATATAAGCGCATATATGCCATGAAACTGTTTCCCCAGTCATTCAAGACATTTTATTCTCAGATAGTCAAGAAAACAAATTAACAAATAAGGCTGAATATACACACACACATACACACATATTCAAAATTCGCATATGCACAGGTGGATGGCGTTGCAGGTATTTTAAACAAAGTCTCTTTTAGGCGTTATATCAAACACCTGATAGACGTGCCAAAGGGTACGTATGATCGGCACTTGCAATGCAATGTGATGAGATTATCGATTGAGACACGATCTGAGCACTGTTTTGATTTCGGTATGCCCAGATTAGACGCTTTTGCAGCAGCAACTTGGAGGTGTCCGTGGCAATGGCGATGACGATGGAAGTGGCTCACCTGAGACAGCATTCAACAGTCCGTCTTGTCTCAACACGTGGAATTTAAAACTTCTTTGATTCAGTGTGGATCATAATGAGTTCGTTGCATCGCTCATGTCAGACGCTAGGACACGCTAAGCTCTGTCTATTTGAGGAAATTCATATGGGCCTTGCCACGCATTTTGGGCTGGCCCAATCATGCTACTAATATTCTCAACAAGAACCTCTCATATTATAAGAATTGAGTCTAACAGAAGGAACTAGTCCCTCACAACATGACGAATCAAGGTTTGAATTTCTATTAGGAGAAGTGCTCACATTTAGTACTCAACAATGCCTCAAATAGGATTGTCTCCAACGGAAGGATACCTATGTTTAGCCAAAAAAAAAAAAAAAGACCTCTCACATTGTAGGATCTCATAGAAGAGACTAGTCTCTATAATGCAGTGAACTAAAATTTAAATATCCACTGAAAGAGGTACACATTTAGTACTCAACAGTATTTTAAATAAAAATTTCACTTTTGACACGTGACTTTTATTAGGCAGTCATCCGTAAATACATGCACAAGCTTTCTTCAAATTGTGGATAGCGATGGGGAAAATGTATTTTAGGGACGACAGGATATGTGAATTCAACATTTCTGTTTTCTGACAATGACAAATACCAATCAACTCGTACGCAACACTCTTCCCTGGACCAATCAATGCATGGCTCCAGATCGGAAGATTTGCTGCCGGCCAACAAGTATCTGGGCCCAATCTTACCAGCCTCAGGCCCCAAAGAGAAGCCCCTGCAGGAGTGCGTAAGCCACGAAGAGAAGGACCTATATATGTATATATGTGTGTGTTTACCCGTTTACGAGCCAAAAATTTCCAATTAGCTGATCCTATTCAAGCTATCTGATTATGAATAACGCGACTTGCTTTTTTAACCTTTTTATACAATGCACGGTTCCCTTCCAGTTTTGATAGAATTAGATGATAAGATTGGGATTCTGGGGTGGGGAGTGATTGCGGAAGAGTATGAAATACCAATAAACTATGCAGTTCGTAGATATCCCCTAATGCTGATAGCCACGTTCTTTGTCCGATCATGATTGGAAAGCTAGGCTGCCGGGTTTACTTGCCGTAACAACGTTTACTACCTCGGCTGACCAGTGAACGCTCATCCCCTTGTCTTCGTGTGTGCCACAGTTTCGCATAATTTGACCTCATTTTCCAACCCCTTTGGGACTCATGGCTTATTTTGATCCTTGATCCATGATCGATGAGCTTTGTATATAAACATGTTTACGTAGGTTTAGATAAAATGCTCCTCATATATAATTATCTCATACTTCATAAAATGGTTCAAAAGCTATTTACAAGGCATGTCAATCAAACCTTCAAACAAACAAACACAACACATTGTGCGGATAACCAAATGCTCTTACAGGAGGTGGGTATACCACAAGGGCCCCAAATTGTCACACTCACCTACATGTGCATGTGCACCATCCCCGAAAGGGAAAGGTTGCTCCACCAGCTGGCAGATTGATTAATTTTCACAAGTATCGTACATTGTACCGAAACAGTTAATAATATTATTGACGACGACGTTGAGAATAGATTTCAATTTCAATTTGATTTTTACATTCTTTTATAATATTATAAAGAAAGCCAGAAAAGATAGGTAATCTATTGGTGAAAGAAATTAGTTTGTGTTTCCTTGCTGTCTTTTCTTAATATTACTTCTATGTCAATATATAAATATATAAACCACATTAGCTCAGTTATCCACGATATGTTGCTGCTCAAAGAGTAATCTACACTGTGAATTGTGTCTGATCCAGAACTGCAAAAATCTTCTCTCGCAGTAAAACTACTTGTCTTGAAAACTATTGCATCCCTCACATCAAACCATCATAAATAACACGACGATCAAAGATCCCTCTCCTATATATATGTGCACGACTCTTCATTCTACACATCTACTGAAACAGGGGAAGGTATAAGAGAATCAGATTCACACACAGAGATTCAGTGTATTTGAAAATAATTCGCTTTTAGAGAAGGATCGGAGAGCCAATCCAGGCTCTGAAATGAACTGTATGCCGTTTGAAGTTCTGTTTCTCGGGAGCGAAAAAGTTGAAGAGATCAAGTGGGAAAAGGAGCGATAATTCTTTTCTTCCCAAAATCACATATTATCTCGCATCTGTTTTGGATACTTTCGGTATTTTTTTAAAACGGATCTTGGAATCTTATTCTATTGTTCATGTATAAGGTGATTTCAGCATAAGGTAAAAGGATTAAGACAAAATCCCTCGAGCAAGTTCTGTATCTCTGTTTTCCATGACACAGCCAAAATTTTATCTTGAAATTTTAAGATGCTGGTTTTTTTGTGCATCAGAAAGGACATCATGACAGGTAGAATTTTGAAGGAAACGAATTCAGCGTCAGGCATTGATAAGCAACCAGAAACACAAGCACGGACGATGAAGGCAGAAACAGTACAAGTAAAATGCTATTGCTGCGAATTGATGGAGGAGGGGACAGTGTCGTACGTTGGTCGTGTACGAGAGAAATACCAAGGTCGCTGGATTTGCGGGCTCTGTGCAGAGGCAGTGAAGGACGAGAAACAGAGGTCGGAGAGAGACATTACTACGGACGAAGCAATGAAGAGTCACAAGAAGTTCCGGCAACAGTTCACAGCAACGAGCCCTCCCAACAATCCCACCGAGGATTTGATTAAGGCGATGAAGCAGCTGATGTTGCGGAGTTTGGAAAGTCCTAGGAACGAAGGGATGACGTGTCGGCCACTGGGCAGATCTCAGAGCTGCTTCTCTACCATGACAGGGATGCAGAAACAGAGCGACCCCGGAGAAGGTCATGGCAGAGTAATTGATAACGCTACCTGATCAATCACAAGCAGCTTATTGGAATCACATTGGCTTTGGGGCTGTTGAACACAGCACCAAATCAAGATTCTGGGTCGTGTCTTCATTGAAGTCGTGTCTTAACGCTTAGCATTAGCATATGGTGTGTTCGTATATAATTCTAATGATGTTGAATGATGTGCTGGCCAGCTCCTTAGATCTTAATGTTTGGCAGACTCCTCAGCTTCAATAATTGATCCTTGTTCCTCTTTTAAACTCATTGACTTGTTCGAGAGTTAGTGGTTAATTGTTATTGTTTGTGGAAGCCAAAGCCGTAGAAGTGGTCAAATGGTTGCCTGTAATAGCAGAGCTGATAACTGAAGTTGTGTGCATATGGTGGTTCTGTAGGAATTGTTGTGCCTGAGGAGATAGATGGGGTTGATAACGGTGATTTCAGAAAAGAGAGAGCCTTGGGGGGACGGGGAATACGAGAGTGAGAAGGAAATATCTGTACGATACGTAGTTATGAAGAACGGGTGCGAGTATTGATGTCTATGATGATGATGTCTCGGAAAGAGACAAATTTTGGGAGCCCCGCCACTAACCATCCAATAATTGGAAAGTGCTACGTGGGCATGCACACACCTGGAGGATCTTATCCCATTATTGGTGGAGTTCACTAACTATAATCCCGATTATGATTATAATTATTATTAGCTTTGTGGGCTCCTGAACTGGGCTTTGGGCCAATGAGCTTATGGGCCAAACCCAGTTCCGTCCCTGCCCGGGGCAAATCCATATTGCAGATGATCTATCCCGGCATGACTTAACAGTGACCATTTTCTTGTCTTTGGTACTCCCTCCTGTTCAAAATATAAGTTAAACTTTGTTATAGAGGTTTAAAGCCTGTTTGGTTCAGTTGCATATATCCTCTACCATGCAATGTTATAAGATGTAATACAATTTTTATTACCATCAGAATGTTTGGTATGACATTGGATATGTGTAAAAGAAAAATTAATTTTTATGATAAATTAAAAATGTTTACAAATAAAAAGACCAAAATATCCTCATCCAACAACAAAAAAAAACATGTTTGCCTTATACTTTTGTATTTCTTCAACAGCAACAGATAAAATGAAAATAGAAACAAGCCATGACATTGATTTCAATATACGATAAAAATTCATGAATCATAAGTCTAACCACAAATTATACAGATTTGGAACCATTTTTTTGGAACTAACTAACTAAAACATAGAATGACAAATCAAAACTAACAATACAAATCTGGAATTAATTTTTTGGGTTTTTGGGAAAATCAAAACTATTGGTCCTTCTCTTTGTACATTATTTTTCAATTACTTTGTTTTGAGATCAAATGTCTTAGGTGAAAGCTATGAAGTGCGACTGTGAGAAGGAATCATGATTGGGAAATAAAGTTTTGCCAATATTGAAGGAATAGGCTTCGTCGACGTTGAAGAAGATGGTGGAGGCAAAGGAAGGAGGTGGTGGGGCATTGAAGATGACGCAGGTGACAATGGAAGTGAGTGGAACAGAGGCTTCAGAAGAAGTCCAAGAGACAGAAGATGAGGGGGAGGGATTGAGGGTATTTTGTGTCTTTTTACATTGGATATGATGGGCAAATAAGACTTTTCAATACATGTAATGGGGTGATAACGAGTATTCATAAGGGGGGAGGTGTGAATGGATATTACCAAATTTTTGGTAATCATCATTACCATGGTAAATTTTATTACCATACTAAAAAGCAACCAAACATCATTCTCTTGGTAATGCAATCCCTATTACTATCGCAGGCCTGCAATGGGACTGAACAAAACAGGCTCTTAGTTTTTTTATAAGATAACATTCACTTTTGTCTAAGCATTTAATGAGTTTTTTTTAATTTTATTCCCATACATTCTCTTTCCTTTTTGGTTCATTTATTGCATTTTTACTATTCTCTTCATTAATAAAGGCATATTTGGAAAAAAAATACGTGGCTTATATATTTATTGTTTCAAACTGATTTTAACTAATTTTTTTTATAAACGTAGATAGATAAAATTTAGGTTATATTTTGAATTGGAGGGAGTATAATTCATACATTGTTCCCCTGCCTCTCCAAACTCAGTAACTCACTGATTGGGGGGTGTTTGGATGAAACCAAACCTTGGTTTAGAGAATAGCTTTTGGAAAATAGATTATAGTGAGAATAGCTTTTATGAAAAAATAATTCTGATAAAGTGAGAGTGTTTGGATAGTTGTTATTAGAAGTATTTTTTATACGTGCAATTACTAAAAAAAGCATTAGTTAATATAATAATTACATAGAAGATAGATTTTATAATAAATTTGAATTTGAAGAAATAAATTTGTTGATAATATATTTTTTACCAACATAATTAAATATATATAAGAAAATGTAATTAATAAATAATTAATATGTGTATATATATTTATAAAACATAATATTAAATATGTTTATAGAAAAATAATTTTTTTCGCTAGCAGAAAAATATTTATTTTCTTTAAAGATCTTAAACATGAAATCCCATAACATTTTTTCACAACTAGTTTTTGTAACAACATACTACCTTCGATCTTTAATATAATTAATCAATTAATTGTTACTACATGTGTGTGTATATATATATTAATGGTTACTACATGTATAGCGAAGGACCGAAGTGGAATGAAGAGTGAGGCATAAATTATTGGGGGCTGCTTTGTTATATACAGTTGGGCCCACACCAATGGCTGGAAAATTTGAACCAGAAACAACTTCAAACCACTGCCATCAAAACTATGGTTTCGAGTTCAAAACCATAATTTTATTCCAAACCATGGTTTCAGATTTTTTTCTCCTGCTTGGTTGGCTTCTTTCCCAAACTATGATTTGGGGAGAAATACAAACAGGCTCTAAATTCAGAAATGCTTTCTGTGCAAATGACAAGAGGAAAAGAAAATGTCTTCTTGCTCATTACAAAATTGATTCACCGGCTTTTGGTAAACACGAGGAGTTAGAATTCTTCTTCTGATGAAATAGTCATTCATTTTAATGGTACCTCATTTTCAAATAACTTTTTTCATGAAGACATTAAGATAATGTCACAGAGAAACTTAATTGCCAAAAAATCCTCTAAGCCCTCATTGTTTTTTTTTTTTTTTTTAACCAGAAGCCCTCATTGTCATTAGACTATTCATGGAGACCGATTTGTTATTTGCATATTTTGGTGATTCTTATCCCAATGATTAAGTTTTAGTATAAAATGACAAAAATGCCTTTGGAATCGCTCCTTTTTCACTAGCATAACATTCACCAACAGCTTATGACCGGGAACCGGTGATTGGCTGGCATGACTGCTGGCCCTTCTTAGAGCCGGGAATCAGGGCCGGCCCTTCAGGGCTGGCGGGCTTAAAAGGGCTGGCCCTCCAGGGCTGAAATTTTAAAAATACTCCAATTTGTTAAGCCCGGCCCTTAAGCTACAGGGCCAGGGCCGGCCCGCGGGCTTTTGGCCCGTTTAAGGAAAAATACTATTTTTTTATATTTATCAATTTTTTTATAAAAATATAAAAATAAACCAATGAAATTATTAATAAAAGACATAAATATGAATAAAATTAAGTCATAAATATAAAATATCATCATATATAAATATTCATCAACATCTAAGAACATCTAAAACATTCATTAACAAGATAACAATATCTAAAAGTTTTATCTATAATGCAATTGTGCAATAAATAAACACTATCATTAATCTTTTGAAACTTCATCATCACTATAATTAATTACTTTTCTTCATAAGTATGCTTTTCTTTCATAACAAAAATATCAAGTTTCTTCTTTATAAGAATTTTATTTTTGAATTTTGCAATCTAACTATTATTTTACTTTAATGTGAGAAACATTGTTGTTGAAACTCATGAATTTCTAATTCAAATTATAGAATCACAAGTTATATAAGTATAAAAATATTCTATTATCAAATATATATATATTTAAAAATATCAACGCATATAATATAAATCAAATCATTATTAAAGTTTAAATTAACCGATTTTTAAAAATTTAATTGGATAAATTATTGTCTAAAACTAAATTTAATTTTAAAATGATAATAATAACTAAATATTTGAAATATTATTAACAATGTAAAAAATTAATAACATTAATATTATATAAAAAATTTAAAAAATAAAAAATTATAAAAGGGCTTAAAAGGGCCGGCCCGCGGCCCTCCAGGGCCGGCCCTTTTAAGCCCTCGGCCCTCCAGGACTTGTTTCTCATTTTAAGAGAAAAATATCAAGCCCAGCCCTCATAATTTCAGGGCCTAAACGGGCCGGCCCACCGTTTTCCCGGCTCTACCCCTTCTACCTACGATGTTACAATGCCAACTACCAAAGTGGGGAGTCTTGCGTTCGGCAATTTTATTTTATGTGCTTTATGGACGTACTGCCTTTTTTTTTTTCCTTTCGATAACGAGATGTACTACGCATTGGGCCGTATAGTCGAATTCCCCAAACAGCCTTGTTGGTAAAAGTAATGAGGCACAGAAGGATGGCACAAATTCGTAAATAGGAACTTCCCGGGGGTATTTTATTGAACCCAAAATCAATGGCATAAAGTCGTACATACGACGGGTACTACAGTTCCCGTTCTTGCATCCAAATCTCTTCTGTCATCATCTCCAGACCCCAGTTGATCAATTTTCAGACTTCAGACGTTGTGGATTTCTCCCGTGGCTGATTTTCCATCAACAAGCCAACATGATGCACATGACCTTCTATTGGAGCAAAAAAGTGACCCTCCTCTTCGACTTCTGGAAAACCGATTCATGGACGAGTTACTCATTGAGTTTGCTCGCGTGTCTCCTGGTCTCTGCTTTCTACCAGTACCTGGAGAATCGCCGCCTTCGCCTGAAGGCTATTACATTTGAGACGCCTTCTTCTACGACGCCCCAGAATCAGATCCCACTCCTCCGACAGAATCTCACCGGTGACAAGGCCAAATTAGGGGTGAGGTTCGCCGGAGCGTTGCTGTTTGGGTTTAATTCGGTGGTCGGATATCTGCTGATGCTGGCCGTCATGTCCTTTAACGGAGGAGTCCTTGTGGCGATCGTGGTCGGTCTTGCTATCGGCTACTTCTTTTTCAGGTCTGAGGGTGACGAAGGAACTGTTCTAGTCGCTGACAGCGCCTGTGCATGTGCTTAGTAACTAAGACTTGGGAAAGATCGATGTTGCTTGAATTACCTATCTACGCTCACGAATTTATGTCAAATGTATCACACCTTTTTTAGCCCTTTATTTTTCTGGGAATTTGAGATCGGTGTTGTGATGCGTGTGCGTCTTTTGGTGTCCATAAATATGTTTCGATCGCGGACTGCAAACTTTAAATTTTCATATGGAAATCATTTTGGAGTAGTTTGGTTTGGTTAGCGTAAGAAGGGCAATTTTTCCAAACGTAATTACGAGAAAATTGCACCCAACATTTTGGTGGGTTCAGAAAAAAGCGATTTGCCGCAAATGGAGTGTGTTTTTTCCCTGCTAATGAGAAGAGCGGTTTAAAGTTGGGAGCAGAAATGGGGAATACATATTTCATTTAGCAATTTGCAGAAGATGTTTCTGTGGCAGACTGCCGAATTGCTGCAAACTGATTAACGAATTTGCTTGTACGTATTCAGTACTTACCATTGCCGCGCGAGCCTCTGATCCCCCGGTCCCAGCATACGGTGTCAAAATAAAGAAGCTTCCTTCAAGTTGACGACGGGGCAGAGGCGCCCCACTCCATCGGCACAGCAGAAGACAGACAACATTGGATTTATCAAGAATGGACCGTAAATAATTAAATGATCGATTTTTCATAGGACATCCGATAACATTGTTGTTGAGAAACTCGAAATCTTTTATTAATCAAATTATAATGATAATGAAGATAATAAACTATCAGGTTAATCTTTCTCTTTTGGTGTGGAGGAACCTCCAAACACCACGTACACGTAGTAAACGGCTCTCTATATAGATGAGGATCTTAGATTAAGTGTAAGAAAACACTAATCTAACTCTGCTTACTAATTAATTAACCATTATTCCAGCACTGCCCTCTTTTCTTCACATGGGCTTCCTTTTCCAACTATAAAATCAACATTTTAATAGTTCAGATTTAATTATTTATCAATTTTTTTTTGGCGCATATTTAAATTTTAGTAGTTTGGATCTGTTTTTTTTTCGGTTGTAATTCAACATTTTAATAATAATTTAAAATATTAAAATCTTAACCATTAAAATAGTCATCTAGTGGTTATGGTTATAAAGTGAAAAGGAGGGAAAGAGGATGATAGGGGAGGGGGAAAACAATCCCCAGCCGCCACAAAAGGCCTTTTGATTACCATTACTATCCATTCTTGTAACCAACCAAATGGGTCCTAAATACAGTGCAGATATGGAATAAAAATACTAAAATAGGGTGACAATTTGGACGTGCATCCATACCATACTACAAAAATATGAATGAAACATTCTATCTCAAAAATTAGAGAGAAATACATGGACATATACAGAGATGCTCGAAATTAGGACCTGCAAAAGAATAACAAAAGGAACAGAAGTTTAGGCTTCCATTAAAAAATTGCACTTGCGGCGGCAGTCACAAGTGGGTCTTTGCTTGAGCATAATCATAGCTTCCCGACACATCAAAATAAGTTGCCTCATCTGCTGTTGTCTATGACAAGATAGGTACCAAGCTTGGGCTGGCAAAGCAGATTTCATAGCGACACCCACATGATTCATATCAGCGAGCGACACAGCAAAGCAACAAATAACATGGAATGGAGGATTATACCATGTCCCTTCACTATCGTTCGTCTTCAATTTTTAATGAGACTAGCTCACTTTCTTGTTGTTGATTTCTATACTTCGAATTATTAGGAAGCCATCTGCAGAGTCTCTCTGGCAAGAACCTGGTATATAAAAAGAATAAATGTCTAGTTGTTTGTTTCAATTGAATGAGCTAAAAAGAAATTACGTGCTTACACATACACCATTGATTGTCTTCTTAGAAAAGGAACAAGAAAATAAATTAGTGATTCTCAATCTACCGGTCAAAATCCAAAAACCTCAAAAAATAGATGATAAGTGGTCTAAATAATATTCTTCCACCCAATAGCCACAAATCACAAGGTTGTAGATGTAGAAATAAGAATGACAAATGAATGACCTGGAGAAGATTACCAAGAGTTGGAAGAATATGACGCCACGAGTGATTCAGTCAGTAATAGACTTGAATCTTGCCAGGGCTTGCATGGAATATAGAAAGCAAATTGGAACTTCTCAAGGAATATAGATAAAATATAAGCAAGGCTTACATGTTTAGTCTCTCAAAAATTGCCCGACGAACAGAAGAATTGAGGCCATATGCTATTGAGTTGAAGAGGCCCTGCAACAAGTGGAGGGAGTGCCAAAAATTAGCAATACATTGTACCTCATGACACAGAACCTGGTGTTCAATCTTCATATGATGTAAAAATCAGTAGTACAGGATGCCAAATGCACTGCACTAATTGGAAATGGCATTTCCGACCAAAAAAAACTTTTGGAAATGGCATAATAAAACATTTTTGTGTATTTCAATGGCAAATACTTCCTTTGTGCAAAATTATTCTGAAAAATGATTCAGTATGCCGGTTCAGCTAGGGAAGTTCTACAATATTGACCACATTCCATGCTAACAGGTTATAGAGCAATAATGTAATAATGTGAATATAGCTGAAAACAGCAAGTACAATGATTTTAACATACCATGAGGGCAGCCGTTCCAACATCTAGAAATGAAAGCCAAAAGATCTTATGGTCAGGTTCAATAAAGTCATGAATGCGGTTGATAGTGCCAAATGCAAAGGATCCTATCAGAATCAGAGGATAGTATCCCCAGCGACTCACAGCCTGCAAAGTAAAACAGGGATGCTATAATTTCTTTATAGAGGAGGAATGCAGATGAGACAATAATTATAGTTTCCGTTTAAGCAATTCGTTTGAGCACAAAAAATAACATGGGAGATTGATAAATATGCCACATGACAAGAAGGGAACATATAGAAAACGAATAGCCAAACAATGAGAATTCTAAGATTAGAAATGTTAACAGCAGCTAGTAACTGCTAAAAGCTTATCCTATGTTCACTTATTGTCGTTTCCCCTCCTTTTAGTTAGGAGTGGGAAGGAAAGAAGAGTTCCTCATCCACATGCATGGATTTTATATTTCCGATATTGCACAAGTAGCCAGAGTATAAAATACCTTCATGTTATCTCTCGTGTCTGAGACATAATTTCGGTCTGAAATACCAACTGCCATCTGAAATTCGCAAGAGAATGGTAAGGTAAAGGTTCCTGAATCAATTAAGCATGGAAAAAAAAAAATCTGCAAATTTGAGCACATACACGGGTTGCATTGTTCAGCATGCGTATTACTTGAAAATATGTAAACCCATTGTAAAGAATTGCACCCCAAAGTGGCATATAAAATGTGATAAAATGAACCGCCTGCACAGGAAAAGAACTTTATTTCAGAAGATGAAGAGAAAGGGAGCTATTTTTATGCTACTTCACAAACAAGGTATCATACTCAAATTCAGTGCAGCACAAAAGTTGCAGAAGATTGAGGCTTCTCTTGTCGTTCTGCCTTTTCCCTCTTGAACCGTATAATATTTACAAAAATGAATTTAAAAAAATTGATGTAAAAAACAACAACATAGTATTTATTATCATCAACTTCATTTAGATAAAGTCATCATGGCAACTCAGTGTTTCTTATCACCAACTTCGTTTAGATAATGTCATTATAAAGAGCATATAGGCCAATCATAAAAGTAGAGATAGAGTGCCACACTGAATTTTCAGCAGAGACTTAAACATTTGCATGGATTTTTTTTCCCAGTCAATTTTAGCTGCATGACATGCTGATAATTAGGAGTTTGGCAACCATGCCTTCATTTCAACATTCAGCACAATTTGTGTTCATAGCATGAAGCATTACATTCAAAAGCAAATGGAAGTATGGAGCCTTAAAAAATAACATGAAATTGAGATATGAAATAAAGAACTCGTCGTGTTCTTTAAAATGAAAGGCTAAACTATATTTTTGAGAAGTTAAAATACTTGAAAATAGAGCCAATCTAACTCTTAGTAAATAATACTTGCCTTCCCAGTGCGACCCATTTGACTTGAACACCATGTGCCGAAATGTCTATGGTCATTACCAAAGGAGCGAATGACTGTCATTACTAGGGAGGTACCTATAAATAGTAAAAATTTCATCAAATGAGCTCCCTGCAATTAAAGACTTAAAATAATTACAATAATGAGCAGAAACTGGAAACAAAAGTGGAACTAGGAAATCAAATGTATAAAATCATATAGTCAAAATGCACAATAAATTGCTACTAAATTTTAATTTCCAGATAACAGGGTGTTGAAGAGATACTGGATGAGGAGATTATGGCAAAGTTGCCCATTCCCCAAAGTTGACAAATGAAAATTTGATCATCCACAAATACATACCCCAAACATATAGATGAAACATGGCCTCCAAATCTTCAACATCTGTTTTGTGCCTGACAACAGTGCGATGAAGGGTAAAAGCAATTGTTGTAGTCCATAGGAAAGATGCCACACAAAAGAAATGTGTGCTATAACTCTGAGCATAACAAAAGAAACCTTTGGATGGGTCCCTAAATCAAAATGAAACTTCCATCAATGAAGTAAGGAACAACTTAACATACATATGAAGAAGACTGCACTTGATTCAGCAGGCATACCCTACTATGTTGAAGAAACTGCAAAGCATGTCCTGCAGTCAAAGAAAATGTCACATTGGAGCACTTTACAAAAGGTTGAGTACTGAAAAAGAAAATGCGGCAAAACTAACAGACAGCCACAGGGCACAGGCATGACTGGTTTCCTGAAGTTCAAAGGGAAATAATCTGAATCACACAATAGCATTAGTAGCGCTGCAAATTAAAGAGACTAGGGGTAACAGGACAGATTGCTGAAGTTAGCTGCTCAACTCAAAGTATACTTATAATGCAATTAGACTTTTCAATAAAAGGCCGTTTTACACTTAAAAACCCAGGAGTCAAGCCAACAACAAGCAGGTTTATAGTTTGCTTTGCCTGTAGAAGTTTATTGTAAATTTGTAATTACCAGGTCACGTATCAAATCAAATATTAAACATTTTTAACAACAGTTTAATATTTAGACTCCTAATTCCAGTCCTAATCACAATTAGGTAAATCACATTCCCCCGTGGTTTGGCCGATATCAAATTGTTCCATGTGGTCTAGAGTGCCTCATTCAACTCCTTTATGCTTTGTTTCATTACTGATTAAGCACCTTGAGTATTTTTTTGTTTCTAATTACAACCGAAATAATCACGTGAAAGTTAAACTAACAAGCTATGTCATTGTTAAATGATGTTTTACCTAAACTAACATTACACAATTAAGATCGTGCCCTTGATCCTACAAGCTCTGCAAAAATGTTCAAAATGTAGGAGAAACTTTATCATTTTAACCTTCACTTTTTTCAGAAAATTTGCAAGTAAAAGTAAGAGGTTGATTGTGGATCCAATTCAAGTTTCGACACCAAACTGATGACATATTTGAGAACTACCAATTAAAAGCCAAATGAAATCTTGCTAACAAAGAAAGATTTATATCAGGCGATAACAAGAAGAAATCAGATCTGAACATCAGCAACAAAATCCGAACGATCCAAATAAGGTGGAATGAGATGCATACAGAGAGGGCAAGGTAGAAAACAAGTTTGAAGGAAAACTTGCGGAGCTCCTTGAATAGGACGTAGCAGAGCACAATGAAGCTCGACCCGACGAAGGAAAGGCTGGACGCTCCGGTGTTCACGGCCGACAAAATCCGGCGATCATTCGCTGTAAGTGCGCCGGCAACAGACACTAAGGTCGCCATTAGCCCAAGTACCAATCCGTGTTGACCCTCGAGGCTCTATTTCTGCTTCTTTCGTCTTTCTCTGGTTTTCAGTCGCGCGCGTAAACTGAATCAGAGTCAGTTGGCTCCCAAAAAAAAAAAAGTCGAACCGGATTCTTAGTTCAAGTTCGCTTTTCGTCCCCCATATGAAAGTGATTAAAATTACACAAAAAAGGAAAATTTAAAAAAAAAAATTGAAAACAAAATACGACGTCGCATCATGTGATTGGCTTTTTTTTTTTTTTTTTTGGGCCAGGTCGTTTTGTCTGATGGGTTACGGTGCTTGCTTGTTGTGGTTGACGAGAATGTGAGCATTGCCGCGCGGGTTCGAATCGCAAAGGCCATCTGAAACTGTCGTTTCTAGTTAGTTTCCCCCAAGGCCCAATCCTTTTAAATTAAATCAAGAAAGCATTTAAGTGAAAGAGTCCAAGAGGATAACATGATGACAAGAATGAGGGAACCAAGAGGGCGAAAAAAAAAAAAGGATTTCTAACCATCAAACAGGCGGCTAGCTCATCTTTAGTCTGGGAGTTATTAGTTATTAGCACTATCCATTTGACAAGTTCTATTAATCCTAATTACAAAAGGTTATCATCAAATCTCAAATTAAATTCCAACACTACTATGACATGGGCAGAAATAATTGACTAAATTCTGTTAGTCGCAGGTATAAGAAGCATCGTAATTTTGCACTCATCTGCTAAAACCATCTCTTTAGCAAAATTTATCACGTTCAAGTTAATTCTATCCCATGCATGTACTATCATCCTAATCAAGTCATTGTGTACTGGTCAAAAGTTCACAGTACCCGCAATCAAGCACCTAAAATGGTCAATGTTGTGAGGGAGCAAGGAACTAGATATATTATAATATTAGATGAATTGTTAATTAAAAAAAAAAGAATAAGAAATGGACGTTATCTATTTATTTTGATAAATAGAGATGAGATGAAGATGATAACATCAGGGCTGATGGCTGCCATGGGGAAAAATCAAGCAGTAGTGGTTGGGCGGTTGCGGAATTTGCCAATATTCCCGCATCCACGCTTCACACACGACATGCAATAAAGCTCAGGCGGTAGGTATGCTTGATGGGAAGCTAAATTGTAAACTAATATACATACATATATTATATATACACCACTTTATGGATTCCGATGGTTTAGTGTTTGTCCATTTATTCGCTGAGATCAACGTGAGTTAAAGGCAATAGCTTAGGTTATTTCCAAAAAGAAAACTTTACATCTTATGACAAAATCCTTCTCACCTATTTAACTCGCATAATATAAAATAAGGTTACTTCAAAACCAAGCATTCCGACTGTAATGTTATACTATTTTCCATCCCAAATAGAAGGTTTAATTTGTTATATTCCAACATTAACTGCGATGCTTACTTCTCCTTGAGTTGTTCTGTCATTGTCATCCCATGCGGACTCATAGTACGTCACGTCGAAAAATAGGCATGACCGGGTTTCCACTTGGAACAACTAACCAGGCTTATTTTCTACTTTCTCGCACCAATAAACAATACAAGGATAACGATTTCCTTCCCTGTGGCTGCCAGGAAGGACCTTTTAATCATTATGTTAACCCCCGTCTTTCTCCTCCACCTACTGACGAAAAGTCGAAAGTTCCCTGAACACGCCTCTTCTGGACTGATACTTAAATGTACACGCTTTATGCCAAACTTTGCACTGAATAACTGTGTACACTCTCAAACCTGAGAATCTTGTTTACCCCTCCGGACAAATTGCATCTCAAAGTGGTAATATTATTTTCACCTCAAACTGCATCCTCCTTGGCGCAGCTTTCAGTTCCTAGCTAATTCTGTATACAACTAATTACTTCCAGCTTCATAATTATGAAGATCCACACATCCTTTACGGACCAAAATGAGAAAACCAAAAAAAGAATTACTATCTGGGTATACTTTCATATCACTAGTTTACGCTTCTTTTTGGCCTTCGCTTACGGCCACATACACGAACGGTCCTATGAAAACATCGTCAAAGCCCTGAAGTGTCTCCAATATGGCAACCACATCGGACATGGTGGGCCTCGGTGTTGGGTGGTGGCTCAAGCATTTGTAAGCCAAAGCAGCCACCTTGCGAGCTCCTCTCGCAGGAAATTGACCTTCCAATCTGGGATCTATGACTCGATACAGCTTTTTGGGATCCCTTAACATAGGCCTTGCCCACTCCACCAAGCTATGTTCTTTGCTGGGCCTGGTCTTATCCACCACCCGTTTCCCTGTGAGCAATTCTAACAGAACCACGCCGTAGCTATACACATCGCTCTTCGTTGTGAGGTGACCTGTCATGACATACTCAGGAGCAGCATAGCCATGTGTTCCCATTACGCGTGTTGTTACATGTGTTTCTTCGCCTTCCGGACCATCCTTTGCCAGCCCGAAATCTGACAGTTTGGCTGTGTAATCCTGTGTTTGGAAATTAAAAGTTCATTAAGTGAATTTGTATTCGCCGGGAAAATTGCAGATATATATGGTCAGAACTCAGAAGTGATAACAGAGGGGACAGAGCAGAGAACATACCGAATCCAGCAAAATGTTTGACGCTTTGAAGTCTCTGTAAATGACTGGTTTATGTACTTCGTGAAGGAAGGCCAGGCCCTTGGCTGCACCTAATGCAATTTTCATCCTGGTTGACCATGGCAAGACAGCAGAGTACCCTAAAACAACGGAATCAGGGTCAGGCATGGTTGTGATTTGAACTTAGCTTCTCTCTTCGAATCCGTAACCAGAAAGTTTTTGGTTCTTTTCTGTTTTGATTTGGGGGGAAACATCAAGGGGTAGAAAAGAACAAGTAGAAGAAAGAAAAGTAACCTACTTCTGAAGAGCTGGTTCTCCAAGCTTCCTCTTGGCATGTACTCATAAACCAAAAGCCTATGTTCCTCCTCATAACAGTACCCAATCAACTTAACAAGATGCGGATGCTGCAGCTGTCCGAGGAAGATAATCTCTGCCTAAAGAAGCAAATATTTTCCCAGTTAGTATCGAACAGTTCCGTCAATACTCATATTTCACTAGCACTTTTGAGTTATTTTATTCTGTTAAAAAAGCATGCAACCTTAATATTGGTGTGTGACTAAGGAAGAAACTAATAAATTGTAGTCAATTGGTTGAGGGAGCTAACCAGCCATTCCCTATGACCTTGCAAGCCACCTAGGTCGAGGCGTTTGACAGCTACAGGCTGAGCTTTCAATCCACGCCTAAGTTTGTCATCAAAAAATCCCTTGTGCACGGGTCCAAACCCTCCTTCACCAAGCAGATTGCTCCATGAGAAATTATGGGTTGCCTCCCTAAGCTCCTCTAGGCTGAATACGTGAAGTTTTGAACCGGCAAGAGAAATTGAGAGATCGTCAATGGCTTGAGATGAGCTGGAATTGCTTATGTCCGAGAGGCACAACCTCTGAAATGAACCTCGTTTCAAAGGTTGTTTTTCCTGCAAGGTGGGGTAATCGGTCCTGTAACAGTTTAGGACGAAGATGATAGACTTCCATGTAATCTTCTTAGTCATCTAGCTAGAACCGATATGAGCAATGCTACGATATCCGATCGACCTTGGCAATGTGTTTTTCACTAATCAGACCTTTGAAAGTGGTTTAATCAGGAGGACGGCATGGAAGCTAAGATGGAATTTTTTTTTAATAAAAATGGTGACTTTGGAATATAGAAGTGAAGGACGAGAAATATATATAATACGTGCATTCACCTACCACCCTAAGGAGAGAAGTTCTGGGAGAGATTCCTTGACTTCTTGATCTCTTGTAAATGAATGCCAACAGTTTCACTATTGTGCATGAACGATATTTCATTTAATAACATTATTTCTATTCGCTTTTATTTTTTAAACATTAATAATCATAGGTATGAACGTATATCTTCAATTAATTAGTAGACAAGTATCTTGCCTACCTCTTGACTTCAATGTTACCCTAAACTCTCTCCCCCCACCCTCCACACAAAACAAGAACACATGTACAGTTTCCATTTTCCTCCCATGCCGTCCACTAATGGAGCTTGTTTAGTTGTTGATGTACATCCTCCGGGAAGGTCGCAGAATATTAAAGATTTGCCATGGGAATTTTTCTAAGTGCTATTATATAAACTAGCAAGTCCCATTATCATATCCTTGTTGCACACATCAAAGAGTTTGTATCTTGTGGACATCTGCCTCGTTTTAACAAAAGAAAAGTGGCATGTCGTGGGTTGATGAATGTCATGTGTTAACGATTTGATATTTCCCAGTTTTTGGTTGGTAGTGTTATCTAGAGTGTTTATGGTTAGGATGTCAATATCAGACATTGGCAACTTGACAATCAGACTCTTGTTTTAAAATTCTTAAGGTGGTAGTCAAGGATAGGTTCTAACTCATTGCAACGCATTAACGTGAGGCTAATCAGAATGGGGTTTGCCACTCGTTTTTCTTGATTTAATTAATAATTAAATATATCACGTCCATATATAATTAATAATTAAAACCATTATATTATACGCGTGTCTGCGCCAATTCGGATCAGGCACGCACATTCTAGAAGCAGACAGGTTCAAGCTGTGACTCCCAAATGGTCGTACGCTCATAGAAGCTACATATTGAACCAAACGAGGAGCAGCAATAATTAAAAAGAAAACAAAAACAAATATATATGGTGGCATTTGCCAAGAGAGTCAAAAGGAAAGGGTGAACAAATCAATCTAACCACAACCACTTCATGAAGAATCTGCGAGACACCATAGAATTAACTCGTTAGGAAAAATCAAACTCACGCAAAGGCTATTATTGTTTGACAATTACGCCTCTGCCTCGTTCTCATCAAAGCACGAACGCATCCTGTTGTATAATTAGTTTAGCACTTGAAATATATAAAAGGAGATGATAATTATTTTTGTAAGAGTTCTAATTCCATGGGTTATGTATTTTCCCAGAAAATGCTCCTCCATCACTAGCATGTAATTAACTAGCTGATAAAAAAAGAAATGAATGGTGGAAGAATATAATAAGGAGAATATAAAACTGTCAACGTGACCAAATGTAAGTTCTGCCCTGATTAATAATAAAAGTAGTAAGG